TTTCATCTATTCTCATATCCTTCTGTGCAGAATACACTATTCCTAACACGCTGACCTTACCACTGTCTTCTCTCTCTTCTCTTCTAAAGAACCCTGGGCTTGGAAAATCGCATTTTCTAGGGTTTAACTCATATAACCCCCTGCGATAGATCTCTTTCCGGTGGGAACGCATGTACACCACTCACGAGAACCTCAAATTAGTCGACATGAGGGGGTATTGCGGTGTAATCTACCTGTATCTGCTGGTCTGAGTCCTCCATACAGAGACAGCGTGTTTGTCAAAACCAGACCTAGGATAACTCCCGTGCTCATACGATCACTTTAGGTGAGGTTGAGGAAGCTGATAAGTGCATATTCCTATCTGATATGCTTGTTGCAAATATAGGATGAATGTCTTATTACTCAGCTATTGACAAGCTCAGCTGATTGTGGAACAATTCGCTCACTTATTCGACAGAAGACGTTCGGTAAACCGCAAGCTAGAGATATATACAGTATGGTGAGAGCTGCTAGTAAAACGCCGCAATTTGCGAAAGAATGGTAATCACTCACAAACCAACTTCAAGTAGGGTTGCATTACTGCCTACCATGTAGCCTATTCTCAAGTCTTTTCAGTCAAGTCAGGATGCCGGCTTTTTAATAAGCTTCTATCTGACCGCTAATAAAATGCAGATTCTGATAAAAATGACTACTTGAGTAGGTTGCATTTGTATCATTTATTTTGACTGCCTTCAAATATACTCTATAGAAAACATGCACAAAAATCTTATTTCTTGTACTTTATTGGTAGGAAATTACAACTTCTCTAAAGGGTTTGCTTAAAGAAAGGATACCTTTTAGTGTTAAAAAAGTTTCTCAATTGCGGACTTATTTCGAAAGTTGCCAACTGTTTTGCCTGAATGAAGCATAGATATTATTCCCGCTCGGATTGGACTCAAAGTGAGAGTGCAGTAGATGCCACGCAAGTCTTTTCCGCCATAATTAACCACGTTGCCACTTCCTTATTCTGTAGGAAGTGCTAGTTCTAGTCACTATGACCTGTTAAATTTATCTACTTGTCACATGGGAAACAACCTCTATAGCAACAACTACCCGGTAATACCAGCATGAAACACTGAAAGTCATGTAGAATGATGTTGGAGGACATGTCGTCTACCTGTATGCCAATACCGACAGCAACGCAGATGATGATTATGTTGATCCAGTTAAGAAACTCTGCAGACAGCACTCCGTAGCAGCCAGTGAAGTAAAAGCTATTCGTAGTGGTTTGTGTTATTGCGCAAGTAGGATCGAGGGGCTTTTTGCTTCCATCCAAGGCGCAGCAGATAACTGGAGGGAAAGACAAGGTACAAATAAGTAAATCCACAAGAACTTACGAATTTCATTGAGTTTAGTACTTTTTGGAGTGGAGATCCAGATTAGAATGCAAAAGGACTGGCTGAAAGTAGGCAAAGGCCAATGAGGATATGGCTGACCGGTATACATGTCTCGTTTACTTGTCAATATTTTATTGTTCGTAACTCTACTTCCAAGCTCACATGGGAATTGATGTTCATCGATCTGGCATCGATCAGGACGGATACTAACTTGCTGTCTTGACTAGAAGGTACGAATATGCTCCTAATTAAGAATTATCGATAATTTTACTCGATCACAATCATGCATGCATAAAACGCCTCCAAGGTCGCATGCGATTGATTTTCTTCTACCCGTCCTACTTTCGGGACGAGCATTGATCTTCTGCCTTGAATGAAAGCTACTCTAAGACTTCCCTCTAATGAAAATCAATAGATGATTAAGGCAGAGTGATAAGAGATTTTCCGCCTGGGCTCGTATGGTCGGCCCTCCTTGCTTGAGGTGGAGGCGTAATATACTGAGGGGCAGCCTTTGAAGGCTTTCGGTCGGATCTGCAAGACAAAAATAAAATGGTCCTACTTCATTTTGCAAGCGGAAGAGAAAGATGTCCGCCAGTTACCCAGAGCTTTTAAGTATTTTCGATTATACTCGAAAGGACGTCAGGATATTCGTTGAGGATGCTCTCCAGACAACGTTTCAAATTCCCTTGCCCTTACTACTTATATTATTGGAGTACATATTTTGTTTACCTTTTACTTACTTTACTTTTTTCCTCGGTGTTTCTTGCCCCTTACGAACTGACGACCCCTGGCAGTTGATTGATGTACGCACACTTTACTTTGCCTCATTTTTGTGGCTGTTTCTTATCTCTGATGATGGACTCCTGTAAGAGTTCGAAAGCTTAGAATAATAAACAAATCGATCGGATGATTGATTATCCTTCTTCCTCATCCATGCAAGTACCAGGAACGCGAAAGTTTTCGTTCATGTGTTGCCTTTTAACTGTTAAATAGAATTATGGTTTTTTTTTAAAAAAAATACAGACACACAAGATGGTTCCAAAAGTGTTGCTAAGGAAAGAAAATGGATACTTGGACGAAGATTTTTGGCTTATGAGTGGAAGATAGTAGCGATGGAAAACCACCGAAAGTAGGTCATGTCAGTTACATAGGCAGAACATTTCTATCGTAGATAGACTGTATTATTAGTATAGAAGAAAGGAAGTTTTCAGTGTTTTGACTTACGCATACTGGTTCCGCCAAAATCGGCTCCACTATTCAGGCCGCAACACTTTGCCTGAAATTAAACAACAAGGCATCAGCTGTGATTATTCACACCTGACATAACCCTTCAGATGTGTAACTAAAACCTTTCAGGACAGAACAACTTCTACTTGGCAGCGCGTTACAAGTCACTTAGGACCTAAGTTCGACCAACGGTTTTGTCGACTATTTCGTCACAAAAATATGGGGCTCTTTCTTCGGTTTCTTCTGTGCATGAGTAATTACCTGATGCAGAGCTCAAATAAATGTGTCTTTTTTCTATAGAATTCGAAGATGCATTCTTATACTCGTGCCCTTAGCAAGTATTCATTGTGTACCTTGCAAGCAGCTTAACTAATACGGACGGTTTTCAAAATGCTGGTTTTATTTTCAAATGACGCGAACGTAACGAAAGTAACGAAAATTAATTCAAAATGGCTCACCTGGCTCATTATCAAGTTCCAAATGAAACTGTCCACGTTTGTCCCGTTGATTCCTTGATAGCCTGGTATGTATGCGTTCAACTGTTGCTTAACTAGATCGATTACCTAAAATTAAATTGTTTAGAAAATGTGCATTATTTAGAGTCTAGCGTTTAAATATTGCCTACAGAGGTTCACCTTCCACGTAATAACTAAAAAGCAAGCAACTGAAGGAATATTGTTAAGGCTATTCTTACTAATCGAAGAAGGCAAACCCCTGTATGAAATAGTAAGCTAAACCATGCCTACTATAATAACATAAGTAGTTTGTTATTATAGTAAACGCTGATGCCACTGACAGGCTATCCGTAACAAAGATCCAAGCTGCACCAACAGTAGTATTTAATGGGGGAAGACTCACCATCTGTTTCTGCGTGGCGAGGACGATGATGGCGACGACTTGCCCAAGTAGCAAAATTCCCAAGAGGATTGCATACTATATGGTAAGGAAGATGTAGCATGAGCCGACGAAAAGACGAAGCTTACGATTATAAGTAGGACCTTGATCAAGCAGCTGGCAGCAATGAGACCAAACAGGGATAAGATCATCACTGCTATGCCGAAGTATGCGATGCCGAGCAGAATG